GCAATCTTAATGGAAATTTAAAGACAATTCAACTAAAAATTAAAAAATTATTTCGTCCAATGTAAAATTACTATCACGGATGATGTAATTTTACATTCATTAATTTTTAACGCAATTTTAATGGAAATTTAAGGACAATTCAAGTAAAAATGAAGAAAATTATTTCATCCAACGTAAAATTACTTTTGTATGCGATGCAATTTTACATTGATTTTTACCGTGGTTTTAATAGAAATATAAAGACAATTCAATTTTAAATAAACTTTCACATGCAATGTAATTTTTAGTGTCATTTTAATAGTTTACAGACAATACAATTAAATATTTTAAAGTTAAATTATAACAAACAATTCTGAAACAATTTTTGTGTTTTTCCATTGAAGTCGACTTTTGGGGTTATTTGTTTTTAATTTGTTTTTATTTATTTCGTCAGCGTTGTGTTTATACTAAAAGCAAATATCTATATATAGTCCACAAGATCCAATATTTTCCATTAGTTACAAGCCGATAATACAATTATAAATGTATAATGGTTTGTTGCTTGTCTTTTAATTCAATTACAAGCTTGACAAAATGTTTTCTTCCTATTATAAACTACAAATCTAAGTTGCACCGCAAAGTTATTTTTACTCTAGAGTTAGATAAAAATTATTTAGGTTAATAGCAAAGATGAGTCTTGTTTCTTTGTTAAAGAAAAGTTTTTTGTTCTCTATTATGTTATTTGAAGGTTGGTAATAAATCATAAAGACATGTATTTTGTCTATATTAGTGCTTCACATGAAGGAAATAAAACTAATTTCTCGATAAAAACACATGTGACAATTTAATAACCCCACAAAACATCTTGAGATAGGTAATTTCAGTGTGATCCATTATATACAACAAAAAAAAAAACATTGAACTTGTCTATTTTTTGTTGCTGAAGTTAAGTTTTCGAAATTACAATTCCATAAATCACAACCTCAATCTAAATTGAAATCCTAGAACTACCTTTCTAAGATTATGAATTAAATTACTTCGAAAAGGAATTTCTTTGATGTAATCTCGCTCTGGAATAACACTCCCAATCTAGTTTACTAGAGCCTAAAATTACATTTAATCTCCATGTTTTTCGAAATCGAGTTACAACTTCAATGAAATGAAAGAAAGATTTAAATTTGTGCACAAACAACAATGCGACTTATTGGATATTTTGCTAGCTGGGACGCTTTGAAACGCCTAAAAAGTGTAAACATAACTTTGCATTGAAACTCTTTACGGAATAAAAATACCGCTTCTGGGATTAATGTAGTAATAGTAAATTGATTTTGACCTGAAATTGACATATCCTCCCACTTCCGTTAACGACGAGATTTCCGACAACTAGGAGCTGCTAATCTAGAGCATTCCGTTGTCAAGACCGAATTTCGCTTACAAATCAATTATATCGCCAGGCTTTGTTACTGAATCACGTATTATTTCGGCTTTAAGAATGAACCAATAATTGAGATGAGAGTGCATTGAAACACTAAATTGAATCAAAATACTGTCGCTTCTACAAGAAATTACTGCCTAAAATTCAGGGACAGTAAAAATTATTATCTAAAACTCACACTATCAGATTTTGTCGAAATTTAAAGGGGGCTCGCGGCTTTGCCGCTCACCCCCTTCTTAATAGCTTTATTTAAC